TTATTGCCAGTGCCAGTCCAGACAACTCTTCATTCTTCCATCAGATCTCACAGAGGACCATCCCACTCCTCCTGCAGACTAGCCTCCACCTGGGCCAGGTATTTAGCCATTCCCACTAGTAACCCCTGGGTGGAACCAGCTCCGGCTGAATTACATTTTTGTTATCTCAGACTAATTTTGAATGTGTCTGTTGTGATGTCTGACCTCAAGATGCAAGTCATTTTGAAATAAAGAAGAAATGCTGAAACAATGATTTTATTAACCTCTGTTAAAATTTGCTTGAGTTTTGGATACTTAGTTGGAAAGGAGTGAGCACAGAAAAGCCAAGGTGTAGACTTCACATGCTACCAAATCCCACTGCAGGCAGCTAAAACGGTATTCTGATTTTTTGTGTCTTATTCCAGTTTCATACCAGAGATGAGTTAAAACACCTGCAGTTTTGAAGTTTCAGAACATAAGGGTATATTTTATACATTGTTCTATATCTAAAATTAGAATAATGTTAGCACTTTGACAATTTTAAATTACATGAAGGTGCATGAAATGGTGAAAAGGGTAGATAAATACAATGATGGTGATTTTGCAGATTTCTCAGAATAAAACAACTGTAGTGATTTTTTGTTTGGTTGGTTTTTGTCCCTCAAGCTGTATGAAATTTTTCATTCAGATTAAATGCAAGGCTTTCAGTCCCTGTTGTTGTTGGGCATGAGATCCATGGTGTAACGACTTCAACAAGTAGCACTGCTTCTCAAATCAAACAGCTTGTCTCATTCCTGATGGTTAATTGTGAACACTGTGCCACTGCCCATTCTTTATAACTGAGGTAAGTGTTTTACAACACTGCCTAGTACTGCAGTTAGGAACTGACAGGTAGATGGAGGCATCTGAGCTATCACTGGCCTTTGGCATTCCTCATCTCATCTCTGATATTCCTAGCCCAAAACTCTCTCAATGAAACCACAAGCAAATTTCCCAACATCTTGAATAAGAACAAATTTGTGTCCCATGACCCATTTCTCATCATACTGTAAGCAGCAAATGCTCATGATTGCTAACTAGCAATCAAGATTGAGGGGCTGATGACATCTGAGGAGGAATTGACTGTAACACTCAAAGGCATAGACTGAACTCATTTACCACATCAGCAAAGATAGCACCATGTGTAAGGAAAATCATACAGTGCAAAATCTATTCCAAATACCTTAAAGTATTACCTCTATGATTCAAGACAGAACAACTTAACAAAGAAAAAAACAAACAAACAAACAAAAACAAACAAAAAATACCCAAAAACCAAACCCAAAATGACAAAAAAAAACCCCAACAAACCTCAAGACACCCTTCCTAAAGAGCAAATGGCAAAAAAAAATGACATAAACTATTGCTGCATGTATCAAACCATATTTTTACAAGACTTTTTCATTAAAATTCACCTATGCAATTCATTTCCCTGAACATTCTTTGGCGAGAAAACAGCTCCAAAAGAAAATTCTTAAAGTAAGCTTTCCACTTTTGCACATTTTTTAGAAAGGGTTTTCTTTATTTCATTCTGGATGGCTCAATGTTATCCAGCATTTCTAAAACTGCAACGCAAGAAACTTACTACAGAATCTCAGAGCACTAAAAGGCAAAACAGAAACACTGTTTCAGAAGCCGCAGGTAGCATTTCTAGTCTAAGACCTGTACTGAAGGTAGCTGCTTTTCAAGATTAGCAATGGAACAATTAATAAAGGAACCCATTAAGGTCTGATTGTTGCTGCTAAAAAGGAAGGTTGAATTTCAGTCCTTTGAAGTAACTGAGAATGATTCAGGCCTCATTACAGAGATATAATCTACATTCATACATTTATGTTAGTGATTCAAATCTATTGGGACAGATTGAATTCCGTTAAATAGAGCATCTTTCCTGTGGAACTTTTCTCAGGCTTTCTCAGGCTAACCTAAGAGGTGACCTGACAATACAAAGTAGTGAGGTATTTAGGGATTCAACTGTGCTATAAAAGAAATGCTATACAGAAAGTAGAAGAAAGAATGAGATATAATCTAAAAAGCTATGTCAGCTTTTCATTTGGACTCTGTTTTGTAAATGCACTCCCTGTCATCACAATGGGATAGAAAAGGATTCTAGGTGTTGTAGTAGTTTTAAGTACTGCACTGAATACTGCACCTGCCAGAAGCAGATTTAAAATGAAATTCCGGGTATCTGGATTTTGGTTTTAACCACAAGATCTTACAACCAACATACAGCCAATCACAAGGTAGAAACAGAACACTTCTTGAGTAAATTCAAGAGACTACCTATGTTTTTTAATGGGCAGACGTTAACTTTACCTGTTTGACCCCCAAACTATTATTCTCTCCTGCCACCAGACATCCAAAAAGCTGATTCATTGTCTTTTCCAGCATTTAACAGGAAAAATATTTTAAAAGTTGAGACATTACTGAAAATATATAATTTAAAGTTATTATAGTAAGTATTTATGATTTAGGCTGCTGGAATTAAAAAAAAAAACAAACTTCAATTTTAGAAATAACGCATTGTAGCTCTCCCGAGGTAGACAGTAAGCAAACAATGACATCAGCTTTGTAGACATACATGTAAGCTTTTTCACAAAAAAAAAAAAAAGTAAGCTTTCACCAAAGTAAGCATTCATAAAAAATAAGCTTTAGATTTTAATTTTGGTTTTATTTCTTTATTTTCATATTATTTGCCAGAAAGGGAAAGCCTAAATTGGATTCACACACACACACAAAAAAATATCTGAAATGCTTTGCACTCGGTGCAAATACAAGCAAAGTAAATACTCTGAATTACCATAAATAACATCATAAAATATATTGATTTGAACATTAAATGGTTTCATTTTTAAGGCTGTTTAAATGTCACCCTCAGAAGCTGAACACATAAATTTAGGAGCCAACTCTCTCCAGAATAAACAACATAATTGGAGAAAAAAAATTCTAATTTCAGTTGTGAAGTTAATATAGTTAACATCCTAATCTAATGAATCAGTATAATTTTAGAACTATTTGTACTTTATTTTTTGTTGTTCAATTTAAGATTTACTCCTAATGCCACATGTAATTGTATAGGCAGTTTTCCACTGCGTTCCACTGATCTGTGTTATTAAGATGCCTCTATTTCAAAACAGTTCTGGCTTTCTGTATTGAGCTTCTCACTGTGTTTCTGTACTGCCTCACTTCTGCATTACTCCCTTCTCTTAGTGAATGTTCCACTTACTTGATTTAAAAAATAATTATTTTACAATACTAAATACTGAACAAAAAATTTACCATATTTCGTGCTGCCCATAACCTGTCAGTCCCTGATCCCTTATTCTGGTGTTAAATGATTAGTACAGTTTATGGAAGATGCCTATTAATTACTGGGAAAGTTGACAGTTCAGTGATGGGCTAAAAATATGAATCTGTCACAACATTCAGTATACGGAATGACAAATCCATTAGGAGAGATAGAATAAAAAAAAAAAAATAAAAAAATAATAATAAAAAAAACCCCAATATATTCCTCTCCAGGAAAGCAACAGCTTAAAAAATCTCTTTGAAATAGCCTTGAAAGTGGAAAATTCGTTTCTTTCTGGGAATTAAAACTGTGTTAGTTAAAAAAAAAAAAAAAAAAAAAAAAAGGCCAAAATACTCAGGTTTTATGGGGAAACCTTTGTAATCCCAATAAAACCCCTTTTGCTTTGAAGTCAGATGCGTGATTCAGTAAATGACTCATGTTAGCAATTAGAAAATGGTCATTTAGGGCCCTGATTTCTTTAAAGACAAGGAGGGTGAGGGTGGGGAAAGAGACACAATAAATCTTGAGAGGCTTAAAAGGAAGAGCAGGCTAAAGTGTGAACTTTTTGTTTCAGCGACGGAAGCGAGAAATCAGTGATTCATTAAAGGAGGGAGAAAGACCTCCATGGAAGCTGGCAAAGAAGGAAAAGGAGCTAATTATGTTTCTTCCTTTTTTACTCTTTCTGACCAGCATATAATGTGCTTTTCCAGGGTCTGCCTGTATATACTTCTTTCCAACCTCTCCACCCAACCCCTCCTCCAGCGGGGGGAGGGGGAGGTCTAGCAGGCAACAAGCTCCAGGTGGCTTTCTCAAGCACTTCGCTGCCAAAAAAATAAAATAAAATCCTCCGCTAGAAAACAAGTTTCTTGGGGGGGGGGGAGGGGGGGGAGGGGGAAGCCGCCCTGAAAAAATGGGCGGGGAGCGGAGGGGGGCGGCTCCGCCTGCCGCTGCAGCCCGGGAGGAAGCGAGGGCAGCTCCCGGGGCTCCTCCGCAGCAGGCACCGCTCGCTCCGGCTGCGAAAGGGTTTCAGATGTCCCACCGCTGCTTGACCCCCTGCAAATAAGGGTTGACCACCAGAGGTACATCCCACCTCTGACTTGTAATCGCTGACATTTAGGCTACAGCTTCCAACCTGTTTACAACCAAAGGGGGAGGGAAAGGAAGGGAAGGGGGGGGAAACAAGTTGGGATTTTTCCCCCCTCTCTCTCTCTCTCTCTTTCTTTCTTCCTCTCTCTCTCTTTCTCTCTCTCTCTCTGGATTTTTTTATTTTTTTTTTTAATACTGTTCTGGAGAATTCAAGCAAAACAAAGAAACTGCCTCCTCTGGGGTTGTCAGTGAGAAAGGACGAGTTGTGCAACTGGTTTGGGATTTGCAAAAAGGCAAGGGGGTGGGGAGCAGAAGAAGGTGCAAAGCCACAAAGTGTGTGTGTGTCTGTGTAAAGGGGTATGTGTGAAAAATCCCTTCTAGCACCCCTTTCCGCTGGTTATTATTTATTTTTGTTGTTGTTGTTGTTCACTTTGCTGTCATCTATTTTTCAGACCTTTCTGCATCTAAGATGGTGAAGAAAGGAGTAAGGAAGAGAACAAAATAACTACTGGGAAGTCTCAAACCAGGTTGGGGAGTGTGTGTGTATGTGGGGGGGTGGGGTGGGGAAGAGAAAAAGGAAAGAGGATTAACTACAGCAACCCCCCAAAAAAAACCCAACAGCTTTTTTCTCTGAGGGAGGACTCGAAGGATTAAAAGGCAGCAACTTCTGAGGCGATTTGTCCCGAGTTATGGATGTTGGTGCACCTACTTCAGGCCAGATCAGAGTACAGAGGGATCTAACCAGAAGCAGCAACCACCGGCTCTCCACTTGCCTTTTACCAGGTTTTACCCTTCCAGTATGTTTCATTTGATAAGACATTTTCCAGCGCCCAGAGTTTCAGTACAATGTGCAAATGGATACTGACAAATGGTGCCTCAGCCTTTTCCCACCTGCCTTGTTGCTGCTTGCTGCTGCTCTTCTTGGTGTCTTCTGTGCCTGTCCCCTGCCATGACCTCGGCCAGGACATGCTGTCCCCGGAGGCCACCAACTCTTCTTCTTCATCATCCTCCTCCTTCCCCTCGTCCTTCTCCTCTCCTTCCAGTGCGGGGAGACACGTGCGGAGCTACAATCACCTCCAAGGAGACGTGCGCAAGAGGAAGCTCTACTCTTACAACAAGTACTTTCTCAAGATCGAGAAGAACGGCAAGGTCAGCGGCACCAAGAAGGAGAACTGCCCCTTCAGTAAGTACGGCTCT